ACTCTCTTAAGTTATGAGTACGTGTGAAAGGCAAATAAAGACATTTGGATACTATCTGGCCACTGGGTGATATTAATAAAAAACATATATTGATATTAATAATACTCTCAAAGATCTTGATACCAGATGTGTATCTATTACTAAATACGAATATTTAAGATTGAAATTACAGGATATAGTGAATAAATTGTGCGAATTTATCATATCTTAAAAGGCTAATTTTTTTTTTTTTAGTTCGTTGACTTATATATATTAACAAGAAAATTATGTTTTACATATTTGATTAGACAGATAGTAGAATAGTACACAAAATAATGGATTGCAAGTTTGCAACATTAAAGATCAACGTGAAAGAAGAAACCAGGGACTGAGCCGAGAGTACGAAAGACCAAAAAATGTGAACTATTATTTTTTTACTTACCAAAAAAAAAAAAAAACTATGCATGATATTTTTTTATTTGAGATATACGTTGGTGTTGTATTTTGCATCCCAGATACAACCGAGAGATGCCCATTAGTAGTAAGCTCGGTCCATCAGGCGAGATCAGAAATATAGCCCCGAAGGAACAGTTAGAAGAATATACCGCTAGCTGCGAGTGGGGATGGAGCCTGTGGAATATAGTGATGGGCTTGTATTAAGTACACTATGATAAAACGCAATATGCCCAGCTAAAAACCCAGTCGATAAACCATGCGATTGGACTGAATGAGACAGTTAAGGAATTTATTTGCAAGATGTATGCCGATGATGAACTCGTGGATAACAGGCGGAATCAGTCAAGCCGGAGATATCAGAGCACGTGCTCAAGATCTGAGATCGTGAGGAGAATATGCTGCGCGAATATAGGAGCAGTTGAGCCTAACTGACCACCTATATAAACAGTAAAGAAGGCTTCTTCGAGGCGAAGTTTAATTATAATCACTTGTACCCTAGAAAATCAGTTAGAACTAAATACTGCGAGCTGCACTATGTTGTTCTTATTTTTCCATCTCATAAATTCTTTGTACTAATTTTGATTCTTTGATCATATTAATACAAATTCATCTCGTATTTCTTAATCTTCATTTATCTAAGATTCATACGAAGATCTAGGTTTTAATTTTTTTTCATTAATATCAAATTCTTGGTTGAGGATTTTTGGATCCACAATATACATGATTTTTAATTTTGTATGATGCTAAATATTTTCTTGCAATTTTATGCATTTTATCTGACAAGATAGAGATGCACACTTTAAAACTTTCAAGGGCTAATGGGACACATTAGCAATTTCGGAATTTTTTTTCCGCTGAAATGATACTTTTAAAACTAACTTTTAATTAGGTAAACAAAATACGGGTCAATGATCAAAATTTATTGTCCGCATTTTTTCTAAAAACAAAAAAAAATCTTTTAATTAGGAAATTATTTACATAAAATATTAATGAATGTTACCAATATAATGAATATTAATGAATGTTACCAGTATATATAATACATAAATAAATTTAAATATAACTTCTGAAAAAAATAACTTTGATATACATATTTCAAAATTTCAAGAGACAGACACAAACCGAAACAAATCCATAAATGGTCATATTATCAGTTCGTTCAGATCAACCATTTTGTTAATAATGAATCAAGCGTCCATTATAATAAGAAGATATTCCGTTGTTTGGTCGAATACTAATTAATATTAATGTGGGGTTAAGTAAAGATTACGAAATCTTCAAGAAAAGATAAAAAAAATATATTATCTTCTAGATCTTCCAAATATATTGCCAACTAGAATGTACTCTTCAAACAATTACTCCAACTCTTATTGATTTTTAAACAAAGCTAATCAAGTAATTTATTATCAGAGTTAAACAAATAAATTGCACCATCAGCAATAAATGGTGGGTCCAATCATCGTTCATATAGAAAAATATCGTTTCGTTCATTCCTACGATCTTCCCTTGATTTTTTTGTATTTTCAATAGTATTGGACTGTTGGTTATGGCAGAATTTGTTACAACTTTTTTTTTGTTTTCCAATCAAATTCGCCATACCTACCCTTTTCAATGGGAAGATA